CCTCCTTTAAAAACACTGGAAATAAAATCTCCTTCGCTCCGTTACATAAAGCAGTGTGTTTGTGCTGTTGGTCAATGGTCAATAAGAGGTCTTCTACCAAAGGGAAGAATCAAAGTTAGCACATGTCATCAAAACTAAACAACTCTTGTTTCCAAACTGAAGCGTTTGAAGCGTTCTGCTCACCGTGTCCGTCCACCATCATGCGCAGAGTACCCAGCAGTTTGAACTGAACTGGGGGCATGTCAGAGCGCAGCAGCGTCTTTATCCTGTCAGTCACCCCGTCCTCCAGCATTCGCACTTTGTTGGTGGCTGGAAACACACACGTCACATTATCGACTTTCTCAGTGTTTCAGGTTTACTTTATCAATTCACATCGATTTTAAGGACAAAACACATTCAGGATCGTTTTAGTGTATGAAATGTACTTCAGTGGAAGCCTGTACCAGGAATGGCGAGGTTCCTGAGGGCGCTTAGTCCAGCGTGTTGAACAGATACGTCTCCTTCGTCTACGTGCTGCTCCAACAATGTCAGGATGTGAGGAACCACTCCGAGGTCCAGCATCTTCACACAGTTACTGTCTGACAGAAAAGCAACAAGTCCTCAAAACCCAACTACTGAAAAACAAACAAACATCAACATGAAGGTCGTTTGGGGCTTTTCTCTCTACTTTGTAAAGCAAGAATTGGTGCAAAGTTTTAATTTTGTTATTATTTTCTCTAATTCACACAAAATCTAAATTATACACACAGTCTCAAATACATGATTCATGTAGAATAACTGACGACAACTGCTGTTTCTCTGTGCCAGCAGAAGAAGGACTTGTGTTAGGTTTAATGTATGTGTTGTAGGTCGCCATTTAGAAAGCTAGAATGCTCCTGTTTGCTATCGAGGTAACCTACGCATATGACTACGTGCTCGACCTTGATAAGGGGAACAAGCAGGCTTGAGAAGAACAGATTCTGCCAACAACAATCTGGGAGAGCTGCACTCCCGTCAGATAACCACACATTGTATAACCATGTTTGCACAGCACAATCACACTTTGTAACCAGTTAAAGTAGTTTCTCATAGGTAATACAGCAACATGCTTTATGAATGTTCATGTGTGTGACCAATAAAAACAACCTGCAGGGGGAAGCAAGTTGAAGTGGGTTGGAGATCAACTGCTTCCCCCCTGACCTCGTTCCTGAGTGAGCTTCTGTTTATCCAGCAGTATCAGGGGAACAGTACTCACTGGGCAGACCAATACACAAGGTATTGGTAAGTGTATTGGACCAGAGTGAAGATCTATGAAGAACTTTACACAACCTGGGAAGTTCTCTTGGGGCCATTTCTGTATAACTACAGATTTCTGAATCACCAGTTCAAACAATTTATTCAGATATGTCCCCACTTTGTCCATGTCTGAGACCCAAACTATCCACAATGATGCAATTTTTCATTGTCATAGGCTGGGGAGGGGGGGGGAGTTGACAAAGAAAGAAACCCAACCTTGCTCCGCAACCGACACCTTCAACCGTGACTAGGGATGGGTATCGAAGACCAGTTCTTGTTGAGAACTGGTTCCCACTGTTTCAATTCCTTGGAATTGTTTGTCATTTTTGCAAACGATTCCCTTATCGATTCCAGTCGCCCCGAATGACGTCACCACGTTGCGGAGCGTCATTTACCTGGCAGGAAACACGGCGCCTAAGCGGCTCAAACGCTCAAAAGTTTGGTTCTACTTTACAAGAACGGATGACAACAGAGCAACTTGCAATACTTGCAAAGTAGATATTTCATTTAAGGAGGAAACACTACGAATATGCAAAAGCATTTGCTCACAAACACACGATGACCTTAAATGAATGTCGTGTTTTTAATTCCGCTCCGGACTCGTGAATCTCAACCCAGCAGCAGCGGTAACGTTTGCACGTCCTCTCCCGTTAATGCGGCAGGTAAATAATCAACTAACAGTGCAGATTATGTTAGCGCGATCTGCCTTATTACAAAACCTGCCATTACTGTGCGTTTAGGTGACCATGATGAGACAGACAGAGTCTGGCTCAGATGCTGGCAGTTCTCGCTGCAGTCTACTGTAGCGTCTCCTTTCAGGCAGGATAGACGAATGTCACCGAGCAGTGACTCAGTTTGTGGTCAAAGGTTTGAACCCGTTCACAGCAGATGATTTTCAGTAAGTGAATGTGTTTAATTGTAGGCAGGGACATTACTGGATATTCTTGTGTAATTGCTACAGAATAATTTATGTTATACTTTGTTATTGCTACAGAAGAATATTTATTTTATTATTTTACATTTACAATTTTCTTTCCTGTGACACCCCATTGAAGAGCCGTAGGCTGTGGATCTGTTAAGATGTCACTGTTGGGTTTGTAAGGCCATGTTACTCCTGAATTTCTATCTTGTTCAAAGAGAAGATATAAAACAAAGTTCTAAGCTAATCGACCTTAGTGTTCTCCTTTTTTAAAAAGAATCGAATCGTTAAACAGAATCGAAAATGGAATTGGAATCGTGAAACTCTTATCAATACCCATCCCTAACCGTGACTGAAAGTTGCTGCTGCCCTCATGGATAAGCCAAATGCCTTCTGGAGAAAAGGTTTCTGGTCAGAAGACACAAAGATTGAGCTACTGTGCCAAAATGATACGAGGCATGTTTGGAGGAGTAACGGCGAGCCTTTCTTATCTCTCATTACATCTGAGAGTGGGTAAAAAAGTAAGAACCATTTATATTAATTTAATACTCGGATTTTTACCTTTATGGTTTCACAAAGGGTTAAAAAGAGGATGCACAAAATTAATATGATTTACTTTTTGCAAACGCACATAAAGATAAACTCAGCACTTTGTATCACTGTAAACATAAGACCTTTCACCCACTCTCAGATGTAATGAGAGGTAAGCTGGGACTTCAATCCCACCGTTCTTCAGTTTGAAAAGCTCAGCTTTACTCCTCCACACATAACTCTTATCATTTCTGCAAAGCTGTAGTGTAAATTAGCCTTTATACACGTAGTGTTTTGCCCATTTTAAAGAAACAGATCTTTGAGCAGCTTTCCAAGCCACTGATTTAAACCTAGTCATATTTCTAAAGCGCTGCTGCAATGGGTATGGCTGATGGGAGCGGCTCTGCAAAGCTACTCAGGTCTAGCTTTTTTTCCCTGGAGGCTAAAGGCAGAACAGCATCCTCACTCATCGGCTCATCCAAGCTCTGCACTGCCAGCAATCCACCGTGGTGGTGGCAGCGTTATGGTCTTGGGCTGTTTTGCTGCCAGTGGTACATTGAAGAAGCTGGATGGAATAATGAAGAAAGAGGACTACCTCCAATTTCTGTAACTTCATCTCAGATCAGCAGCAAGACAGAAAGTTGGACACAGCTGGTTCCACAGGGACAATGATCCCAAACACATAACAGCTGGATTAGGAAAAGATAAAGCAGGCTAACATTAAGCTTCTGGAATTTCCAAAGCCCCAAACTGAGACTTGTTGGAAATTTGTGGAATACATTTCAAATCTGGATTCATCCAAGGAAACCAACCAATTTGAGTAAACTATCAATTCTGCCAAGACGATTGGTCAAATATCCATCCAGAATTATGGCAGAAGCTCGTCGATGGCTACCAAAAGCACCTGGTTGAGGTACAATATGTAAAGGGACATAAAACCAAATATTAGTGTATAATTGAGTATTTTAGTATACTTTGACTCCACGTGGATTAGAAAGAATTCAAAGTAAATTCAAACTTGTGCAGCCAATTGTTGTTTTTCGGGGTGATTAGAGATGTGTGGTCTACAACAGCGGTCCCCAACTCCCGGGACAGAGACTGGAGTTGTTTGGTTGAGCTGGGGCTCAGGTGTGAGACTGATGGTCTTTTCCCGTGTGTTATAAATACATTTTCTTTTTTTTGGTGCCGGTACTGGTTTTATTTTGTTGCATTTATTTGCGACACCTTAAAAGCTGGTCTGTGAGAATATTGTCAGACATAAACCGGTCCGTGGCGTAAAAAAGGTTGGAGGCCGCTGCTCTACGAGCATTTCACGCCAGAAACACATCACGTGATAACACTAAATGACACTGAACACCAAAAACAGTATGTTAAACAAACTGTTAATGAATGAGAATGACTATACTGTGTTACATTACACTGTTTAGAAGATCTTGTACCAGTTTTGATCTGTTTAAAACATCAGATTTAAAAAAATGTCTATTTTGAATTTAATGTATAAACTGTAAACTGTCTGGACAGATTCTGCTGAGGAAGTAGAAAAAAGTGGGTTTTTGAGATGTTTCACCCGGAAAAAAAATGGGTGAAAACCAAGAAAAATAAATCTTAAGTTATCTTTAAAAAAGTTCTAACAGTTTAGAGACTGGAACTGTTTCAAAAGACCATATAGTGTCTCTTTGACAAACATCTCACCATTCCTGGCGAAGTTGGCGATGGCAAGCGCTCCCGACAGCTGCAGTTGGGTGTTGGAGCTCTGGAGCCATGACAGAACATCCTGGTACACCAGACCTGATCCTTCACCAAAACACTTCTGCATGGACTCATCTGACACACAAACAGTCTTTTGAAAATCACATGATTTAGATTCACATGCAGCAGTGACATTAGTATTGCTTTATTAGGTAAATCAATACACTAGTGCACCAACACCAGAGATTACATATTAGATTAATTCATTCAGTGACAAGTGCAGTGCATTTTTTTATTTACTAATTTTTGTTTTGTAACTGTAACTTGACAGAATGAACATATTTCCAGGACAATCAGAGAGAAAAATGCATCTTCCCCTGATAGTTATTAGTCGTCGTCACCAGTGGTTCAAATGAGTCCGTGCCTGTAATCAGTTTGAGCAGATAATCAGACATATATTCTACCTTCGTGCTCTTTGAGTGAAACAAAATTCAATTTTGGCACTCCCCGTTTTTTACTATTAAATGAGCTACTAAATACTTGCCCACCCAGCTGTTTCTGAACCAATCACAGCTGTTTCTTGTATAAATGCTGCATCTGCCCAATGTGATTTGAGATAAAGCAAACATTTCTTAAGCTTAATGGAATTATTAGCACCCCTGCTATGCCATGAAATTACTCTGTCCCTATATTATTCATACAGGATAATATATGTTCATATGGTATCCTTTCTT